CTACTGCTAATTACTGTCATGGTGACAAAAGTTTCTGTGACTGACTGTACGGTAGTCAGTCAAAGAAACTTGAATTTTGGGCACATTAGAATAGTGACCGACCGAATATTCGTTTTCGTTTTCGGCTACTTTTGGCCAAAAAATGGACATTCGGCCATATTTTCGTTTTCGGCCAAAAACCAGCCGAAGCTTCGGCCAAACCGAATATCACAAATACGTGAATAAGATGGTTATAACATTCGGATATCTTCGGGAGTGAATCAGGTGCACTCATGGTTCTAATCAGATTTGAACGGACGCGGTATTGTCACACAGTTTTGAAGTGAGGTTTCGGTGTTCAGCGGGAATTTTCCAAGTTTGCCAAGCTCCGTAAAGTACGATTTTATTTGTCTCCACGTCAACATTGCCATCTATTACATACTTTATGGCGACATCGTCGGGCATCTTTCCTCGTCGTCCTAGTTCTTTCATTACCAAAAGATAATCGAGACAGCTTCCTCCTGGCTGTTTCATTCTCGAGGACATCATCTCATGGATGGTCTTAATGTCAACTGAGTCGGGAAATTCCTTCAGCAGGGCAGTTTTTAGGTCCTCCCATGATCTGAACGGTTTTTCTGACCGTAGCCATAACCCTGCTGTTCCAACTAGAGACCGTCTTTCTACGATCAATGGTTGTAGTAGTGTCCAACCAAATATTTCCGTGTTTTCTTCAACGTCACTTTTTTTTTTTTTTTTTTTTTGACTAGATGTCAGAAACGTCGTGCAAAATCGCGACGCCTCCGACCCAATCTCTTTCGCCGAGCAGGGTCCGCGAGGGGATCCTCCTCTCTGGCTCTCTCGGCTTCCTCCTTTGAGGACATGACCGCCTCGCAGAAGGCCTTCACTGAGTCCCATCCCGTGTCACTACCGACCATAGCTTTGACCACAGCCGGCAGCCTTAAATCACTTCCAATAACTGCACAGAGCTGAGTTCTGTGCTGTGTCCATTCCGGGCAGTCTTCCACAGTATGCTCCGCTGTGTCGACAGCGGCGCCACAGTGGTGACACATAGGGGTCCTCTCGCGGCCGATGCGGTGCAGGAATTTCCCGAAACAACCATGTCCGGTCAACACCTGCACCATCCGGTAGGTGAGGGAGCCCTTTCGTCTTTCAGTCCAGTCTTTAAGGCAGGGCTGAAGGGCAGCAACCGTGCGGTGGCCTGCACTGGGCTCCTCCAGCCACTCAGCCCATTCTTCTATAATAGACTCGCGGGCCTCCTCCCTCCACTTCTCAATTTCGCGGGGTGCTGGGGGGTTCCCACTGCGTTTTGCAGCAGCGGTTCGGTGGTATCCAGTTTATGTACAGCTGTACAATCTTTACAATTTATGTACACAATATATACAGAAATATTCTAAGACTGTACAACTAATTACAAATATTTACAAAGATAGTTTACAAACGACGCCAGCCGAAGGGTGTAAAGGGCCCATCGGCTGGCGCCCACCACGCCTACTCCTTAATAAATTATATATACATAATTTAACCTAACTGACTAGACAAACGACTAGATGTCAGAAACGTCGTGCAAAATCGCGACGCCTCCGACCCAATCTCTTTCGCCGAGCAGGGTCCGCGAGGGGATCCTCCTCTCTGGCTCTCTCGGCTTCCTCCTTTGAGGACATGACCGCCTCGCAGAAGGCCTTCACTGAGTCCCATCCCGTGTCACTACCGACCATAGCTTTGACCACAGCCGGCAGCCTTAAATCACTTCCAATAACTGCACAGAGCTGAGTTCTGTGCTGTGTCCATTCCGGGCAGTCTTCCACAGTATGCTCCGCTGTGTCGACAGCGGCGCCACAGTGGTGACACATAGGGGTCCTCTCGCGGCCGATGCGGTGCAGGAATTTCCCGAAACAACCATGTCCGGTCAACACCTGCACCATCCGGTAGGTGAGGGAGCCCTTTCGTCTTTCAGTCCAGTCTTTAAGGCAGGGCTGAAGGGCAGCAACCGTGCGGTGGCCTGCACTGGGCTCCTCCAGCCACTCAGCCCATTCTTCTATAATAGACTCGCGGGCCTCCTCCCTCCACTTCTCAATTTCGCGGGGTGCTGGGGGGTTCCCACTGCGTTTTGCAGCAGCGGTTCGGTGGTATACATCCGCCAGCACCTTGGCCTCAAGCTCCCAGGGGGGAGTACCCGCGAGGGCGCATGCCGCTTCTCTGGAAACTGTGCAGTATGCACGAACTACCCTCTTAGCGACGATCCGCTGCGGCTTTCTGAGCGCTGATACGTTATCCCGGCAAAGGGAGTCTACCCATATTGGGGCGCCGTACAGGGCCATAGATCTCACGACCCCTGCAAACAAGCGGCGGCACCCCATGTGTGGGCCTCCCAAATTGGGCATTACCCGGCATAAAGCGCCGGACACCCTTGTCAGTTTTGGAGACAAAGCCTTAAAATGAGCCTTAAAGTTCCACCGGCTGTCGAGGACCAAACCTAAGTATTTCATGGTCGCCTCGACGCCGATGGAGACGCCACCCACAACCATTGCGGAGCCCACCGGAGGTCTTCTTCGCGGCCCATGAAAGCAAATGGCCTCTGACTTATGCAGGGCTACTGTGAGGCCTAGGCGTCTGATGCGCCTGACTACTTCCGCCACCCCTGCTGTTGCTCGGACGGCAGCTTCCCGGTATGTCTTGTCTTTGGCCATCACAAGTGTATCATCTGCGTAGCAGACGATTTTTACTCCTGGCAGACGGTTTCCTCTTATGGCCCAGTCATAACCGATGTTCCACAGGAGTGGCCCAAGAACCGAGCCCTGTGGCACACCGCATGACACCGGCCTTCTGCCCCATCCGTCGGCCGTCGGAAATACTACCTCCCGGTCTTTGAGGTAGGCTTGAATGATCTTCTGCAAGTATAAAGGGACCCTGTGGTGTTTCAGAGCTTCCTCTATACATGTGTGGGGAAGGCTATTGAAAGCGTTGGCGATGTCAAGAGAAACCGCCACAACGCTGCCCCCTCTAGCCACCTCTCGCTCAGTAAAATCCTTGACGTCGGCTATGGCATCCAGGGTGGACCGACCACGCCGGAATCCGAACTGGTTTGAGGCCAAGTTCGGCCCAGTTTCTTCCAGGTGCCTGTTCAGACGGGTAGCGATAACGCGCTCGAAGAGCTTCGCCGCCTCGTCTAACAGGACAATTGGCCTATATGCCGATGGTGACTCGGCCGGCCGTCCCTCTTTCTTCAGGAGAACAAGTTTCCCTGTCTTCCACTCCTGTGGGAAGGTTCCGTCTCTTAGACACGTCGAGAGTAGCGCTCGAAATCGTGGCTCAAGGCCGTTTTTAAGGGCAAGCACCCACGCTTTTCCTGGCACTCCATCTGGGCCAGGCGCGGTGTTCTTAGCCTGGAGACGCAGAATAGCCGCACCTAGCTCTCCTTCAGAGACATCTTGTGCTTCACTGGTATCAGCCCCGGTTGAGCTATACCGTACCGGTGGTGTAAAGTCCGGCCTCGGTGGGAAAAGGGCTGTTACAACGGTTCGAAGGAGACCAGGATCCATGCTGGTGGTAATTGGAGGAGCCCACGATCTCAATTTGCTCATAACGAGCTTGTAGGGCCTCCCCCATGGATCCTGATTAAGAGTGGAGAGGAGTTCCTCCCAGGCGGCGTTTTTAGCCGCCCCTATCGCACCCCTTAACTCCTTTTTCGCCTGCTGGTATGCTGCATACAGTGGGATGTCTTGCGCCTCATTCCTACGCTGTCTCCTGCGATGCCGGGAGTATTGGCGCCTGGCCACCACACATGCCTCCCTGAGACGAGCCAGTTCCGGAGACCACCAGTGCACCGCTGTACGAGCCGGCAGCGCCCTTACCCTGGGCATCGCCGAGTCGCACACGTGCGACATGGCCTCGCGGAACCACCCGACCTCGTTATTCGGCTCAGCATTAGATGACAATGGTGACCAGCTCTCGACGAGAGACGCCACCACTAACGCTTCTCTGTCCAAACGTTTAAGCGCCCATCGTGGACCCAATGTGTCCGGGGGACGGCTTGAACTGCTCGGGGCAGCCTGGAGGGGAGAGATGTCGAAACGCACATATCTGTAGTCCGATAAAGTCTCAACCTCCTCCAGCACCTCCCAGTTCTGGACGCGGCACGCCAAGGCGGGAGTTGCAAACGTTACATCTACAACCGATCCACCCTGCATCCGCACGCATGTTTCTATCGTTCCCCTGTTCAGGATGACAAGACCGTGCGACACCAGCCACTCCTCGAGTACCTCACCCCTTGCGTCTGTTATGCGGGAGCCCCACGCAGTTGACTTTGCATTTAGGTCGCCCATCACGATAGTATGATGAGGGTGGCCCCAGCCGGATATTAGTGTTCCTACCTCTGCCAGAAATCTCTCGAACTCCGAGATAGGTCGGTTTGGTGAGAAGTATCCCCCGACAATTACTGTGTCACCCACTAGGACAGCGACGCAACCACGGCCTCTCCGTACCTTTCTAAAAGGTTCGGAATCAGCTGCTGTGTTGGTAATTACAGCTACTTTTTCATCCACATCGCCGGCCCAGTTTTCTCGTTTGTGGATGAAATAGGGTTCGGACACAACGCAGATATGGGTCATCCACTGTGTCAGGCTCTGATATAAAAGGTCTTGAGCTCTGGCACAGTGGTTGACATTCGCCAGTAAGAACTTTCGAGCCATTATTTACTCTCCAGCCATGTCAACCTCCTCTTGCCCCACAGTGGGGTGGGATGGCACTGGCTGGCTATGTGCACTTGCCGCTGCCCTCCTTCCTACCTTCTTTGCCGGTGCCTTGCAGGCTTTGGCACCCACTCGGTGTCCGGCTGGTTTCTCGGTCGCTGCACATATCGAGCAATGAGGCTCGTTAGTGCATGTTACTGCAATATGGCCGAGTTGCCCACACTTGTAGCACTGCCGGCTACGATCAACTTCAGCCGGACACACGGCTTGAACATGCCCTGCTTCCAAGCAACGGAAACACCTAAGATCTCTCGCAGGAAGGAGCCGCACTCTAGCTGCGACCCATCCTACGAGAAGGCGCCCCTCTAACACCTTTTTGGCTGCAACGATTGGGCAGCGAACCCACGTGGCGAAAAGTCCGGTGTGATCGCGACGTGGGGCACCGACTTTGATCTGATCAGTCGGGCAGTCTCCCAATTTAGCTATCGCCGCTGCAACCTCCTCAGCTGTCACCGAGTCGTCCTGCCCCGACACCCTGAGATCGGAGCTCTTGACAGGTCTGGACACCCGCACTTCCTCCTCCTTAAATATTTGCCTGAGCTTATCCGCCAAGGAGTCCGCTTTATCATCGCTTGCAGTACCGGAGACTTCTAATATAGTGGCTCCTGTCAGTGCCTTCCGAAAGCGAACGGCCTCAATGCCCAATTCGGCAATGTCAATTCGCCGTTTCGCCTCGCCGATAACCTTTTCATAAGTTAATCCCTTCTCGTTAGCCCCAGGCTGAACGGATACCACCACTGCAGCGTATTTGGGCGGACGCATCCTGGCCGGTGCGGGCGGAGCCATTTTCTTTGGCACCTTGGTAGGTGGTTTTTTCCCTCCGCTGCTATTTATCTTCCCCTTCTTCACTACCGTGCTCCAGCCTTCGCTCATGGAAGCCGGTGCAGGCGGCAGGAGTCGGGGGACGGGTGGGGCAGAGGCTGCTGGAGCCACTTTTGGCGTTTTCCCCTTCCGATTCTTTCTTTTGGAACTGCTCTCCTTTCCCTCTACGACAATAGGGGCAGTTATTTCTTCTCTAGCCGGTAAAGAACGTGGTTCAGGTGGCTGTGCTTTGGATTTCTTAGTTTTGGGAGGTGGCTGTAAGGAGGCCTCCTCCCTCTTCTTCTCGAAAGCCAGGGCCGGGCGAAGCCGAGGCTCAGGGTTTAGACGCGGTTCGAGTCCTTCGACTCGAGCATTGATCCGCGCCGTTGCTACACCTAATATTTTCGCTGCCCACTCCTCCATATTGGAGGGTGATGCCCCGTCGGGGGTGGCGTTATCGTCTGCAGCTGCAGCTGTCGGAGGAGTCGCAGCGTTGATTTTGTCTTCTTTGAGTTTGGCAATTTCGCTGCGAAGCTCTGCTAGTTCCCTTTTTAACTGCTCGTTCGCCTTAGTGAGTTTTTCTATTTCCTCACTTTGTGTCCTCTTGTTGAGCGTCTCTACCACCGTGCTGATAGTAGTGGCAGCCTCATTAAAGGTATTTTGAAATGTACCTTTCAGATTTCCGCTATTTTTTGCGCAGTATATGATGGCTTCGGTACTGGCCTGAGCCGCCTCCGTAAGCTCTTTAGCAGTAAGATCTCGGGCGAGCAAGTGCGCCCATGCTCTCATTTTTTTCAATTTGCTCGTATAAACGACAGCTTGTTCTTCTGCGTCTGCCTGACGAGCTTCCCATTTTCCTTTCTTTCGCTGCTCTTTGGCAGTGGTCTGTTCGGCTCGGGCGCTAGTAGTAGTAACCGGCCTGCCTCGACCTCTTCGGTTGTGTATAGCAGCAGTAGAGATTTTTGGTGAACGCACCGAGCTGTCCGTTGTGCTACCATCGTCGTCCATATACGGAAGCTGACGTTTCCGTGACCAGAAGCGCGGCGAGCGCGGCTCTGCACGCGAAGCGTCAGTAGTGTCAGACCAATTGTCAACATCCAAGCGTTCCAGCGACACGCGTAGTTCGCGGCGTGCTGTCTCTTCCATCGGTCCTGCGCAGGAACCAGACCCAATTGTATTTACAATCTGTTCATTATCTACAGTCGTCATCTCCGCTATATACATATTATTATTTACATTGTCGGGCTCTCCGTCCTCTCTATCTCCAAACGTTATATCTACAAACGCGGTTTCCCGCGGAACAGGCTTGGTCTCCCCGTATACGCGAGACCGACCACCCGAAGGGCGGCCACGGGATTCCCCAGCACAGCTGGGACCCGCCCGGGTACAATATTCATTTACAGCACTGTCCATAATAGCATCTGCTTACGGGCGAAGGTACCCCACCTTTCCTCTCCGGGCGAGGTAGCGGCCGGTAGAGATGGGTAGTGGGTAAAAACCCATTTCACCCGATTGGGTTTAAACTGGGTGATTTGGGTAAAAACCCGGTTTTTACCCATTATCACCCATTCTGGTGGGTGAAAACAAAAATAGCGTATTTTTAAAGTGAGAAGTGGTATTTGTTGCTAAGGGGGCGTTCTAGTGTTACGTAATGCAATCTGGGGGGAGAGGAGGTCTTGAAAAACGGTACAATGCGTTACAGTGGTGGAAGGGCGGTTTGATTTCAAGTTTTTAAGCAGAAGTACTTTGTAGTTGGTGTTGTTATTTGTTACTTTATACCGTAATGTCATCAAAGAGAGAGTTTGGCATCTTTGGCATCCCCCCCCCCTCCATGTCCTTGCTCTTGCCATGATCACAAATTATTGTGTTCCTACTAAATTTCTTCTAAATCGGTTCAACGATTCTTGAAATAACACCATTTTATAAAATAATTGGTCACATCATCATAACGTAATCAATTTTACGATTTGGCCACGATATAAATACATATATTAGTGTTAAATTTGACTTATTACTTATTAATCAATAAACTTAAATGAGCAAAATTCAATAAAAATAAAGAAAAGATACCAATTGAAATAATTATAAAATTATTTGTTTTCACCCGGTGTAAACACCCACGGGAGGAATGAAACGGGTTTTTATTGGGTTTTTACCCTCATGTGGGTTTTTACCCGGGTGGAAACCCATCTCTAGCGGCCGGTGCTACTCCACCGACCATATCGAGCCTATTCAGACCCGATATCGCTCCTCGGCCCCCACCAGTCCTTGGCGTTTGAGGGTTTTAGAGACTTTTCCTTGTCTTGGCCCCGACTTCCGTAGCCGAGGCCCCCGGCCCCCCTCCATTGGGGGGTTACGGGTTGCCCGACAGGCCCGCCGAGTTGACGAAACCTGCCGCGCCGGTGAGGAGTCAGCCGCCCGCGTGACAGAACACGCGGACGTTGCCCGGGATGCACCACGGGGAGGTCCCTCACCATCGCACCCCCTTCAACGTCACTAATCCAACACGATATGGAAATAGTTTTATCCTGCCCGCTGAATTTAGGCACCAACTCTTCAGAGTAGCAAAATGTGTTTGAACGTCCAGCTGTAACTGCTGCGCCTTCAGCATCTTCCGCGTCTTTGAACTCATTTTGCCTACCTCTTCTCATCTTTCTTTCTACAACATCAAACCTCTTTAGAAAATATTTGGATCGTCTTCAACAATGACTTTACTTCCTTAAATAAACTGAAAAAAAAAATCCAGTATAAGTAGTTTTCCAGTACACCGGGGAAATAATATTCCATTAAGAATTCATAATAATATCTTCTTATATGTATATTATATCTTCTTAGATATTTTTAATGTCTTTTTTTAATAAACTTTTACAGTTTTTACATAATTCATATTGTTTGCTACTTACACAACTACTTATACAATTTGAAAGTGTAAAAGCATAGTGTCCGANATAATATGTTTTTGTTGTAGAGTTAAAGAAGATTTTTTGAGGACTTAATATAATTAAATGTTTAAATATCATTTTTTTCACTACTAAGTATAATATTTATTTTAGATGTTATTAAGTTATATTTGTGACAAATTTGAATATGAAAGTAATGTGGAGATATACATTTATTAACGACATTCATAAATACCTAGCTTGGTGTACCTACTTAGTTGAAAAATAAAAGAAATTCTTATGACATGCATTTAATTTACTTTTGATAACAATTTAGATAATTAATAGCATTCGCGAAATGTAACACAATAGATTTGTAAAAAAAATCACAATATTATCAAACTATTTATTGGAAATAAACTTATGGAATCTCTCAGAATAAGTAGTCAATGCATGAAAAAAACCACGAATTAAAATATTACTGACGTACATGTACAGTCCTCAGCACATAAGACATACATTTCGGGACTATGTTTAGGGTATTTTTCTCAAATCCAGCTTTAGAACGTACAATATAAGCCACCCTGTATAATTGTTTAGGTACTTGCAATAACAATGACTGTATCATTGAGCTATTCTAGGTAAGATTTAGGACTAAAAGACAATATAGACCGCGTGGTAGATTGAACTTTTTGTAAATTGAATAGACAAGTACATAATTTGTATGGCAGGCATAGTTCATTGTTTTTACTATCCTCTACCTCATGGTATTTTGAATTCATGTAAAATGTAATAATGCCTTGTTTTGTGTGATAATAAAATACAATTATATTCTTAGCTACTATCCACATTAGTAGGTATGCCTGTTATTAGTATATAAATATTGTATTTTAAGTGTAAGTTCCTTTAAGCTATAAAAGAAACCTTAAAATAAATATGTATAATACTTTAAAAAAATATTACCACGCCTGTGTAACTGACATGTGGTTTTTTTTCGGTTTCTGTTATTGTGGTAAATTTTAGTTTGTTATCAAGCATAAAAATAATAATATATTTAATTAATTATGATGTTTAGTAGATTAAAAGTCATCCTTTTTAATAATAAATGGACTGAAATACAAAACAAAGTCAAAGTCAAAGTCAAAATTTCTTTATTAATTTGTTTGGACTAATAAATAGTTCTTGCAAATCGTCATTTTGCTCTTAAGGAGCCTCTACATGTCTCATAATCTTTTTACCCTACCAGCGCTTCGAGACCAACGTTTGGCAAGTGCTGAGAAGAAGCGCCGCAACAAACTCAGTCACCACTGTCTGCCGGTTAATATAAATAAATTAAATAGAAATAGTAGCAGTAGGTACATTCGATTCAGGTGTCAATATACAAGTATTTACAGACTTACAGCTGGGTATCTCTAATTCCGAGATTCTTACCTAATTTAAGCTTAAATGACTGGACTATAGCTGAAACGTTCAAGAACTAAAATTTTCATACATTTTTTTAACGTGCTCACTAGTGAGGACATTTAATTTTGATGTAAACTCACACTCAGCCTACTGGTTTATTAGTAACATAATAAAAAAATATAAAGTTAGACCAAGAATTACTGTAAAACATTTAAATGCCACGCAAAATAAAAATTAGTCTTTTTAGGTAAGTACGATCTTAGGTAATTAATAGTACAAGTTTTACAAAACAATAAAACTTGTATTATTGAGCAGAGACTATGCACAGCANTGCCGTGCCCCCAGATAATGCCTTGTTTTGTGTGATAATAAAATACAATGATATTCTTAGCTACTATCCACATTAGTATGCCTGTTATTAGTATATAAATATTGTATTTTAAGTGTAAGTTCCTTTAATCTATAAAAGAAACCTTAAAATAAATATGTATAATACTTTGAAAAAATATTACCACGCCTGTGTAACTGACATGTGGTTTTTTTCGGTTTCTGTTATTGTGGTAAATTTTAGTTTGTTATCAAGCATAAAAATAATATATTTAATTAATTATGATGTTTAGTAGATTAAAAGTCATCCTTTTTAATAATAAATGGACTGAAATACAAAACGTTCTGTTTACTCTCAACTATTAGGAAAAATGATCTAAAAAGACGTTATTTTTTGCATTTATAAGATTGTTATTTCAATGAATTGCCAGACATACCTATTATTTAACTTTAGTAATAAAATTGATTTTTGGCATAGTTAACTTATTGTTAGAAAAACTAACAATGTATTCAAACTTGTCCCGCATAAAAGTTTTCTGGCAATGAATTAATCGGATTTTAAAAAACTATTAATTTCATAATAATTTATATTAAACACGACATAATGTGTAAAATACATCTTTCAAAGTTTTTACAGAATAGAGGTTTTTTGTCGCATTTATATTTTTTAAGTAAATAATAAAATATGTCAATCTCGGTACAAAAAGAGAAGTTTTCCCTTTACCTAGTCTTACTGACACTTATAAAATTTAAATTATTGTAAATATTGTAAAATTGTTATCTCAAAAATGTTAGTAAAAATCTATTTTGTGAAATAAAATTTTAAATTGACATTGAATTAAGTACATGGTTTTTATTTCATTAATGATAATTTATACTTTCATCAATCAACATCAATGTAAAGATCATAATTGTATACTACTTTTTGAAATGTTTAACTTTGAATAAATATCAAGTGCCTAAATAAATTAGAAATTATATCTCTTATAATCTAAATCCCTGTTAAATTCATAAATTACCATTGTAAGCTCAAGTACCTAAATAAATAACTTCAACTTGCATTTAAATTCAATTATTTCAATATGTAACAGGTTTGGTTTCATATTATTTAGTAAACTAATACCTATCCAACATATTATACAAAGAAATTAATTACATTTATTAAATTTTGAAAGAAAACCAAAAAGTCCCAGGTAATAACTAAACTAAATAGCTCCCGTGTTATTTTTCGGCTCCCACCCGGTATAAATACGGGCCGCCACTGAGCAAGCGCATCATTCGTAGCTCAACTCCCTGAGAGACGGACCTCTTCGCTTACTTTGCCATTTCTACCATTTCCTTCGCAGTTTAATAATTGACGTAGACCGCCTTTGTGTCTTTTGTGATTATTTGTTGCTTGAAAAGTTTAGTAAGATCTTAACTTCCATGATGATGAACCCCCAACGTGAGGTAAGTGAAAAATTCAACATTTTGTGTCTAGTGAAGTGAATTGGCCAAATCGAGGTTTCCAAAACCGTAGTCTGGCAATAAAAAAAGTGTATTCTTGTTTAAATCAATATTAACCGATGTCGGTAGTTTGTATTTTTTTTTCAATCGAGCGAGACGTCTCGTTTAATTTCTTTTTATTCTTATTGTTCCTTCGTATACCGTAAGTAACCTAAAGAAAAGTGTTTTCATATTTTTAATTCATTTTCATTTCAATATCAATGTAGATGTAGTCAGGCGAATTTTGTTCTAGAATAAGTAGTTAGTAGATATGTATTTTTACCCTATGTAATAATAACGTAGTATAGGTCGACTGCTGCGCGAGTCGCGACCTTTCTTAAGCCTGTATTTTTACTCGACTGCGCCAGAAGGAGGGTAATGTTTTTTCCAATAAATCCTCAAGTAAACAAACTCTTTGCAGACCACCAGCCCCACCATCCTCCACTCGGATGTCATCGCCGACCGTCGCAGCGTCTTCCAAGGTCATGTCGCTCCTGTCACCTGCCTCGACGACGTACGGTAAGTAGTTTGTGCCCGTTTTCACCATCAATCCCTAATTTTTAAGTGACCCCTATGAAAACAAAATTCCTGTTAGGTGTCACGCCACAGGGGTCACTTAAAAATTAGGGATTGATAGTGAAAACCGGCATTAGACTAGCAATAAAACTTGCAGAAGTTGACTTCCGCAAGCTGTTACCACTGTGTAAATAGCGGGGCAAGCCAACTTCTGCAAGATTTACACGGTGGTGACAGTTTGCGGAAGTCAACTTCTGCAAGTTTTTTTGCTGTCTAAACCTCGCTAGGTTCAATTTCCATGAGGCAATAGATTTTTCATGTTCTTAATTAAGAAGTTATATTTTTTCAGTGGCACTAATTATGTTACTCTTAAAATCTGCTCAGTTTCACCCTTTTAAAAATATTCTTCGGCTGCCACAGTCAGTCATCATTAGGTACTAAATCCATGTGCAACGAAAAATTAACTTAGCCAGATTGCCAGTCTTTTCAACAAAGTTAGTGTGGGGATTCATGAAACGTAATTTGTATTTTTGCGAGTGTGGGGATTTATCAAACGTGTTTTAATTTGCAGCCAGGTCCTGAAGGACCTTAAAAAAAATAAGAAAATTCTGAACGCGAAGCACAACACCTTCGCGTTCAGGATCGAAGGTCCGGGCGGCGTCGTCGAGAACTACGACGACGATGGCGAGGCGCACGCCGGCAGTAAAATTTTAGATTTAATGTTTAAAATGAACGCTCGAAACGTTGTGGTGGTGGTCACGAGATGGTAAGTTCCCCATTCATCATTTGAGCTCTTAAAAATCCGGTAGACTAGTTAACAGAGGCAGTTCTATTTTTTCAAGTTATTTTTAATTTAGTTTGAGATGCGACTGTGACAATAAGTATTTCTGTTGGATGTTTAAGGGTAGTAGCACAGAATAATAATAAGTACTGTAGTAGGTACTCCCCTGTGAGGCAGTTCGATTTTTTCAAGTTTTTTATTAGTTTGCAGAGGTTCAGAACTTGATTTGGAAAAATGCTAAAAAGTGTTTTTTACAGGTTTGGAGGAATCCAGATAGGGGCGGACCGGTTCCGCCACTATCTGGCGGCCACGCAGCAGGCGCTGGCGCTGTCCAATAAACTGACGTGCGCCGGCGCCGTAACTGAGGGAAAAAAATCTAATAAAAATAAAAAATGCAGGAAAAAAAAATAAAAAACAAAAACTGAAGCAATGTATTTGATTTCTTTACATCATCACAACCCTTAAATATCTTAACATTATAACATTTATTATTCTGACTTAAATACCTATCAAGTAAATCTAAAAACTTGTACCAGAGGCAAACCGTGTAAACAAAATCTAATTTTGAAATTTTTTTGATAGTGCTTTTTTTACGCTTAATAGCAATGGAGAAGTTTCCTGATGTTGAAAACAACCATCAAAAACAATACTTGTAAAAAAAACCAAGTCTCGCAACTCAGTTGTTCTACGGTAAAAAGTTGTGAGATCCATGTAATACCAAGTCGGTTATTAATTTATTCAATTCAATTCAATTTATTCATTTAAAGATAACAATGATCCACGTGGTTAGTAAATTATTAAACTGGACTTATAATTAACAGCATCTTATAGTGACGCATATAAATATTAAAAATCTTTAACGTTTTATACAGAGTGGAAACGATAAGTGATCTCACTCGATTATTTCTAAACTATACAAGATATCAAAAAACTGGTTACTGATCCTGAAAGTGTTTCACGAGCTCTATACAACGGTACCAATAATAGGTTACAAAATAAACTAAATCTGTCTGAAAATTCAATGTTTCCAGACTCCATACATTTGGTAAAACCACACTAAATTAAAAACTATACAAGATATCTAAAAACTGGTTATTGATCCTGAAAATGCTTCACGAGCTCTATCCAATAATAAGTAAAAAAAACAGTACCAATAATAAGTAATAAAATAAACTGGATCTATCCGAAAATTCAATGTTTCCAGCTTCCATACATTTAGTACTGCCGCAGTCATGACACTCATGTCTTGATAATATTATAGCAAGTAAAGCCTTATCAATTTTTTCCATGAATAATTTTAAATATAACAGTGCAATTTAGGAGTTAATTTTAAGTGTTTATTTTTTAATATAAAAAAATTAACACTCTAATATTGTGTGGCTGGAATAGTGGCATACATTTAGTATGGAGGCTGAAAACATTGAATTTTCGGATAGATCAAGTTAATTCTGTAACCCATTATTGATATCGTTTGAAAGAGCTCGTGAAGCACTTTCAGGATCGTAATCAGTTTTTCGATATCTTGTTTAGTTTAGAAATAATCGAGTGAGATCACTTATCGTTTCCACCCTGTATAAATATATTGAGACTCGGCCATCGCATGAAAACACGTGTAAATTTAATAATTACCAGCAGGCAAGGTATTTCATAATGTAACCTTAATACTAATAAATGGGTACTTCTCATTTACACTCAAATTTGATGGTCACACAATAATAGTTCATAAACGGTATAAGTTAGAACAATAACTTTGAAATCAGATGATANAAAAAATGCTCCTATAACCGGTGGTTTTTATTACTTTGTATTATTCTCTATCGTATTACCTTCGTAAAACCAAAAATCGCATGTCTCTATCCCTATCACAACGTTTGCAATGAACGTTTGAACAAAGGCCTGTCACCACATTATTCTCCGCTACAGGTAGAGACAATTTTAATTTTAACTAAAATGCTTATTTTACTAACGAAATTTTTTGTTTTTATTTGAAATCTAACTTGTCTTTATCAAAATTACAAATCTAGAGTCATTTTCAGTTTTGTTGATAACGATGCTTTGAATGGCGCGCCCGGAGAGGCTTAGTTCAAACGTTCATAGCAAATGTTGTGATAGGGATAGAGACATGCGATTTTTGGTTTTACAAAGATAATACGATAGAGAATAATAAAAAGTAATAAAAACCACCTGTTATAGGGGCATTTTTTGGAGAAATTTATCAAATAACCAAAAAAACACGAATTTTTGAGCAGATTTTTTTCAAAAAGTATCACTTTTTATTATTTGTTGGCATTTTTTGTGTATTTTATGTATTTTTTTAGTATTGCCTGTTATTCAGCATTATTACTGTTTTTATTTTATCAGGATATACCGCTTAGTTTAAAAGTTATTACGTTTTCTTTACAATAAGTAATTGGAAGAAAAAAAATTCTATAAAAAATTAAAAAAAAATCTCAAAAATTTTTTGACCTCTTTTTTGTCGATAAAAATAGGTCTAGTTTCATCTATTTTCATATGTACACTTTAACGTGACTCACACTGTATATGTTTTATAAACACTTAAGAGTCATTTACAGTAGTAAAGTTTGAAAAAATTATTGCTGTGAAGTACAGAATCACTTTCGTGGCATCAAAAAATTCAAAACGTTAAAGCTTCCAAACGAGACTCACTATTTGCCTGATTTACTGAGAATACAATCTTCACATCAAGCGCTACAATTTTTGTTTACAAAAAGTTGAAATAAGTTAGAAATAAAATTCGCCACGAAGGTGACGATGAGAACCGTGGCGATGAGAAATAGCCAAATATCATAATAGAGAACACCGGCTCGTGTAGGTACAGCGCTCACGTACAGCCTCACATTTTGAATGTTTTATCACCAAATATTTTAGTTTTTCCTTGATTCATACACCAAACACTACTTATATTACAAATTTGAAGCTTCTAGGTCTGCTAGAAGTGCCTTAGAATTTGGATGATCTAAGAGTCAGTCAGTCAGTCAGTGAGTGACAAAATCAAGAAACTTTGACCCGTTATAATTCTTAAACTACTGGTTGAAATTGAATGAAATTTGAAATATACCGTGTCTTTACAATGCCTGCATGGTTACTGAAAATTCAGTCTTCTAGTTTTATCCACAACGAAGTTACAGGGGGTCAAAAATGGCCTGAATTGCTTCGAGAAAAGGATGGTACGGCCGTGCCGCTTTTTTGGTCGACTTGGCGGGGGCACTTATATGATTAATATATTGACCAAAACTAAAAAGACGGTAAGTATTTTTTTTAATCCATCAAGAAATGGCTGAGAAATTAATTATTTAAGTTACCTACATATTTTCGCGTGGAACTCAAACAGAGGTGGTGCGTGATATGGGTTCCTTGTCCGGACTACGGAACCCTAAAAAGCGTCCTGTGATCAAACCTGAAAAGTTAACGGCTTAACAAGATTGCCAGTCTTTTATAGTCTTTTATAACAAAGTTAGTGTGGAGATTAATCAAACGTGTTTTAATTTGTAGCCAGATCCTGAAGGACCTAAAAAAAATAAGAAAATCCTAAACGCGAAGCACAACACCTTCGCGTTCAGGATCGAAGGTCAATTTTGTGGCCAAAATTAAAAAAAGCAAAGTTACTCCGATTCTAAATTAGTAACCTAATATAGGAACAAGACATAAATGGCGCGATCTATAAATGATATTTAAAAAGTTTAACACTTTTTATCCAGATCCAGATACCCACAACATTTGATTTAAACACTTTTTCTTGTTGAGTAATTTATTATAATTTTCGCTCTTGTTTAACAACAACGTTTAACTTTTATTTAATTGAAACAACGCTGGCCGCAACAGCGTAGGTATTACAGTTGCAAATTTCGACCGGTTCATCCAGTGTCTACTTAAGTTCCTAGCTCGGATGGAAGAGCAGTCGCCCGGCAAACGAAAGGTCGTGGGTTCGATTCCCGTCTGAGGCAGTTCGATTTTTTCAGTTTGCAGAGGTTCAGAACTTGATTTGGAAAAATGCTAAAAAGTGTTTTTTACAGGTTTGGAGGAATCCAGATAGGGGCGGACCGGTTCCGCCATTATCTGGCGGCCACGCAGCAGGCGCGCTGGCGCTATCCAATAAACAGACGTGCGCCGGCGCCGTAACTGACTGGCGCTGGCAAATACAGTGACGTGGGGTTCAATTCCCAAAGTTGAGTTCACCAACCTTCATCCACCAATATTTCAGTGCGACGAGCGGTGAAAATCAACCGACCGAGCGTGTATACAGCTCGGGGACTAATGTCCAATTTACCAAAACTTTCATCTCCTATTTATATAAAGCCACATCAAAAATGTTGTCACCGCGATTTAGGTTTGCATGGCTGTGAGACGTGGCCGCGTGGTATGGAACTAAGTTTACAGCGCCATCTCTTGATATTTCTATTGAACCATAAAAATAATATTGTAGTAAGTTATAATAAAAACTAGCTAACCCGGCGAACTTTGTTCCGCCTTAATGGCAATAAATAAGCAGACTTTTTTTAATTTCGAACGGGATAAAAAGTATCCTATGTCCTTCTCCTGGCTCTAAACTACCTCCCTGACAATTTTCAGCTAAATCGGTTCAGCCGTTCTTGAGTTATAAGCGAAGTAACTAACACGACTTTCTTTTATATATATATAGATATAGATATAGATACATAGGTAGGAAATCCAAAATATTTAGCCTAACTAACCGTTAATTAGAAAAATGTGTTTAGTCATAATTTTAACCTATAACATAAATAGGTACCTACCTACTTTCTTTTTAACTAAATATTTATTGGGTCACAATAGTAAGTTTTCATATCAATGTTTCCTTAAGATTCCTTCTTAAAGTAACACAAATATAGTAGGTACCTACCCGTACTCATATTGTGCTTTTTTGAGATACGTATAATAAAAAAAATACTTACAACCTGTGGGATCCGAACCCGCGTTCCTCGGATCTCGAGTCGGCCAGTCCGATTACTTCACCGTTCGGTATTACCGTGCCGTTCGGCACCGTGGTTCGGCTATCGTGGCTATACATACCACGATAATAACATTTATAAGTCCCAACATAACATAAAATATACATTTACCTGCACTAGGATCAGAACTAAGAAAGAAGTAAAAGAGATAAGAGCCTATGGAAGTTTTTATGAAATACAATGACTTCATATTAGAACCTTGCGGGGCTCATAATCATGTCATGAAGAGAATTAAAACTTGTCACGTCATTATTAATATTAGGTTTAACTAAGTAATTTTTATTTTTTCAATTAGAATTAAAATCTTCAAAGTCCTAAGTGGCGTCGGTTTCCGTTACAAAAATAATAATATTTTTATAACAGAACCAATTTTCATTATAATGTCTTAGAGTTTCCTATAGCTTAATGTTGTTATAATCTACCCACAAAATTTTTAAA